TTGATTCTTATTTGATCATGGTTGAATGTGTCGAAGGATTAAATTGTTGGAGTTGATCAGTCATTAACCCAATATTGGGAGTGGATCAAAGAAGTATACAACATGACGACGAACATAGCATTTTCACAAACAGATCAATAAGTCAATCAAAATTTCGATGGAGTAAACTTCACCCTGCTGTTCAAAAAATTAATGCATGTTATAAACAAGCTACCAATCAAAGTAAAAGTGGTTGGGCTCAAAAAGATATTATGTCATTCGCACATAAGATTTTCACCAAAGATTCGAAAGAAAAAAAAATGAATTTGAGCATGTTTGGTTGTTGTTAAGAGATAAACTAAAATGACAATCATCATTTATGGATGATTCTTAAAAAATATGCGAGATTTCTACTTCAAGTATATACTCATCGTCTTCTAACCCAGAAACACCGTACAAAGTTAAAGAATTTGATACAGCATCACCAATATCTTGTCCCATAGGACAAAAGGCAACCAAGAGAAAGAGCAAAGAAAAGTCACTACAAGTGCTACTCCCCCATGTTGATTTATTTGACATAGAAAATGCAATAAAGAAAAAAACTATTAAGTTAAAGAAGTCACAAGAAATACGTTTGAAGTATGAAATCTTCATGAAGGACACAACTAACATGTATGAGGAGTAACGTAAAGATTACAAAAAATATTGTAACTATATTAGACAAAAACGAGAATTTTAAATATATTAATCATTATCATTATTAATTGTATTTGTTTGAAAAATGTATTAGTTATGCACAAATGAAAATTAATCGTTGTAAAACTAGCCGTTGTAAAAATTAGTCGTTGTAAAATTAGTCATTATAAAAACTAGTTGTTGTAAAAATAGTCGTTATGAATCTATATATAGTTTTGGAATGTCATGTAATATTTCACATCTTATAGTATTACAGTATTATTCTTAATTTTTAAACACTTCGATCATCCATACAATAGAATTTGAAAACATTGATTTAGATGCATTATTGGATCAAGTCATAAATGGAGTACTTGAAATTAATCATGATGAAGAAATCATGAGGTTAAGCTACTTGAGTACCGACAACAAGTCGACAACAATGGTGGTGACATAAAAAAAAGAAAGGTAGTTCATCAAAATCGTGAGGAAAGTCATCATCAATTATTCAATGACTATTTCGCTAAAAATCTAGTATATACAGAATCTTAATTTCGAAGAAGGTTTCGTATGCGAAGAAAGATTTTTGTCAAAATTGTGAAAGTCCTTAGCAATCACGATAATTACTCTAAGGTTTATCACCTTTGCAAAAGTGCATTGTTGTTATTCATATATTGACTTATGGCTCACCTGCTAATAGTGTGGATGAATATATTCGCATTGGTGGAAACACTGTAGTAGAATGTTTGCAACGATTTGTATCGGACATTTGTGCAGTATTTGGAAATAAGTATTTAAGGAGGCTTAACAACAAATACATTGATCGACTACTACAAATGGGAGTCACATGTGACTTTCCCGGTATGTTAGGATCAATTGATTACATGTATTGGGAATGAAAAAATTGTCCAGTTGCATGAAAATGTCAATTTTATTGAGGTGATCATACTGACTCGACAATCATTCTCGAAGTTGTAGCATCACAAGACTTGTGGATTTGACATACATTTTTTGGTTCTGTAGGAGCAAATAATGATATTACTATGTTAAATGCATCTAATGTGTTTAATGAAGTTATGTCAGGTTTTACATCTATAGAACATTATCCTTTGAATGGAACCCAATATGATATTGGATATTACTTAACATATGGTATTTATCCAAATTTTGCCACATTTATAAAAACTATTTCATTGTCACAAGAACAAAAGAGAAAATTATTTGTTCAACAAGAAAAGTCAGCAAGAAAAGATGTTGAATGTGCATTTGAAGTCCTTCAATCTCAATTTGCAAATATACATGGTCCGACACGTTTTTGGGATACTCATATATTGAAGAACATAATTTATGCATATATTACATTACACAATATGATTATTAAGGATGAAAGACACACTTATCAAAATCATATTGATTATGATATTAAGGAAAATGAGATGTCAACTATTGATATATTTTCAAGTCTTAATCTTAGTTTTAGATCTACATATTTTCAAAAGAGAGTAGCGGTTTAACATAAAAATACTTATTACCAACTTCAAATTGATTTAGTAGAATATATTTAGTAAAAGTTTAGAAGAGAAAATAATAAAATTTAATTTCATGTATTATATTTTTCAATATTATTTAATTTTTATTATATATTATTTAAATATTATGTATTTATATTATTTTTATATTAAAATAAGATAGTCTATTATTAATTAAAATAATTAATTATTTAATATATATATATATATATATATATATATATATATATATTTACTTTGATAAAAAAAATATAATAATGAATTATTAAAAGTAACTTAAAATTCTTATTATTGAAATAAAATTAGATGAGAGTTAGTTAAGATGAAATACCAGAACCTTTATTTCACCATTTTTTGAAGAATGAAACCTCTCATATAAAATTCTTAGCACCGACGACCATTATTTCATAAAAGTGGGTGTTTCGTTTCAGTTGCGAAGTTGGAAAGTGGAATATTGTTTCAGGTAAATACTAATTAGAATTAAAATTTTGAAAATTGGAAAGCTGCAACGATTAAAGTCAAATTTATTTCAAAGTTTAATTACCGTATATGTATTGATAGAAAAAAATTAAGAAAAACATTAAAAATAATAAAAATTAATACTTGTATAACTTATTCTTAAATATAGTATATTTTGAAACGAAAAAAAATATGAATTATAATTAAAATTCTCAAAATTGGAAAGGTCAAAAAGATTAAAGTCAAATTTACTTTGGAATTAGTCACCTTGAGGGTGGACATTTAGATTCTGTATTAAATTATTAACAACCACTTTGTTGAGCTTGAAGCAAATGTTGCGAATTTGGTCACACATTTCGCTATCAAAGCAACAATCATCAACTCGCACTGCTCACTCATGAAAGACCAAAATACACAATTCTTACAATATAAACTCAATAAAACCAAATGGCTCCCTGTTTAGGAGCAGGAACAACACTTCCTAACTTTAATGTATAAATCCAAAACATGATATTTATATATATTTATTTTAAAATATAAAATATATTCTTATTTTTATCTTTATTTTATTATTATAGTTTTTTTATTATATATATATATTGTTTTATTCATCTCTATTTAAAATATTTTCACATAAATTACCTAAAATAAAAAATAAATAATTTTTTAAAAATTATATTTCAAAATAATTTAAAAAATTATTTTAAATAATAATATAATTTACTTTAAATCTAAATAAAATACTATTATAAATAAATAAATAAATCATTGTACGTATTTTTAATTATTTTTAATTATATTGTCTGTATCGGTGTTTAATATTGTGATTAAATTTTACTTCAATAATATATCAAGGAGATTAACTGATTATATTAAATTTTACTAACTTTTTATATTATCTCTAAAATATCTCGTCATTAATTTAAAAAAAAAACTATTAACCTTAAGCATTGAAAGTGAGAACATATTATAATAATGTCATACTGAATAAATGAAATAATAAAATCTAATTTTTTTAGTTGAAAAATAATGTTTTATTCTTATTTTATAAAGGCTGCTGATATTTTGACATTCATTACTCCATTCAACTAATAATAAAATAATAAGTAATAATATTATAATAAGATGTATAATAGGAAATGGAATTATAGAATGGATGCTTTTTAAAAATTCGTTTTCAAAATAAAACTTATTTTTATAAATCACTATTGAAATTCAATAGTTTTTCACGATCATCCTTGTCAAATTTGTAGGCACTGCGTAGTCCTTTAAAAATGAAAAATTCGGGCTTTAATATTTCCCTAAACCCTACAAAAATTGAAATCCGTATTTTTTTTTAACCTTCATGTTAAAATAAAAATGATTTTATATATGTTAACCATTTTTTAAATGTGACATTTTATTATATAATGCGTCCCTTTGCTTGAATTGTCAAATGGTTATTCGTTTTACACACAAACAATTAACATAAATCACATATATCAGTAATGATTTTTATTTTCAAATAAATAAAAAGTAAAAAAACTATATTCATGAACCAAAACCCTAATTAATATTTTTATTGATTTGTTTTCTTTGAATACGAAAATTATTATGTAAGCAACTAACATGTATAAGAATAAAGATAAAAATGGTTATATATTGGTGTAAAACTGGTTTAAAATTATAATGTAAATCTAGCTTTCAATTTAAAAAGAAAAGATTATTATGTCTTAGCATTCGTACCAATCTTATCATGCCTTCCATTCCATATATACCCCTCCCGGAGGATACTTGAAGTTCAGTGTTATAATTTACCTCTGAATATATCATTAATTAAACTTAAAATTTTAAAACATTGTACATAGTTTTTTTGCTTGAATGATAGTAGAATAATATAATGAAATCAGTGGCGGAGCCAGGAATTTATATGATTATGGCCCTACAAAATTTAAAATTATTAATAATAAATAATAATTTAAAACTTTTATTTTTATTATTTAAAAATTATAAAGTATTTGACTTTTGTTTGACCTTCAAATTTAAGGTTGTGGATCCGACTCCGTCTCTTAATGAGATAACAACCTATTTATTAATATAAAAATATGTATTATTATTACATTAATATAACAAATTGACAATAAATTAAATAATCACTTGTTAATTTATTATTTTGTTTTTGCTTTAAAATTCGATGGTTTTTTAAGAGTATCTTTATAAAAAAAATTAATAAAAATTGTTGAAAAATAAGATTGAATATTTTATTATAAATTTCATAATTTCTTTATTTAAAATTAATTCAGAGTTACTTATTCAATTAACTTTCTAAAGTTAAGCAAATTTTTTCATTTCAAGTCATTTAGACGGTAACCTCCCATTATGACCCTAAGTTATGGTCCGGTGGCTACTGACTTGACAGCATTGAATGAAAGTAGTTGTTGGATGATGATGGGCGGTGGTGTTAATTTATCAAACTTCTCTTGTCATTTGGTCGCTAAACCCTTATAAAGAGTCTCCATACACCACCAATATTATCATCCATTCAACCTTTTCATCGTTAGTTGCCTCCACAGTGTTCCTTCTCATCAAGTCCTCCTCCATGGCTTCACTTCCCAAAAGGTTCATGCTAACCCTTGTTTCTTTATTATTTTCAGAAACTATATATTTTTCCAAAATCGTCTGTATCTTTAACTCATGACATAACGTTCACTAAAATGGTTTTTAAAAGAGAATATAAGTTATGTCTTCTTCCTAATGACAGTCTGAAACATAACGAACCTTGCAGGCTTGAAGGTAAAGTGGCGATAATCACAGGAGGAGCTAGTGGCATTGGAGCCGCCACAGCCAAACTATTCGTCAAGCACGGTGCAAAAGTAATAATCGCAGACGTGCAAGACGCGTTAGGCCACTCCCTCTGCAAAACCCTCAGCACGAACACCCCCATTCACTACCTTCACTGCGACGTAACCAGCGAATCAGACATAAAAAACGTGGTCGAAGCCGCCATTACCAAATACGGCAAACTCGACATAATGTACAACAATGCTGGCATCTCGGGAGACTCGAACAAAGCCGTAGTAACTTCCGGAAACGAAAACTTCAAAAGGGTTTTCGAGGTTAATGTGTACGGAGCTTTCTTGGGCGCCAAGCATGCGGCGAGGTTCATGGTTCCGGCGAAGAGAGGGGTGATTCTCTTCACTTCGAGCGTTGCTTCGCTTCTGGGTGGCGAAACGACGCACGCTTACGCCGTTTCCAAGCACGCGGTGGTGGGGCTGATGAAGAACCTGTGCGTGGAACTGGGGGAGCATGGGATCAGAGTGAATTGCGTTTGTCCAGGTGGCATTCCCACTCCGATGCTGAACAAGGCGTTGAAGATGAACAAGAAGGAGACGCAGGAAGTGTTGTGCAAGGTTGCGGTGCTGAAAGGAACGGTTCTTGAAGCTGAGGACATAGCAACAGCTGCGCTATTTTTGTGCAGCGACGAGGCCAAGTTCGTGAGTGGAGTTAACCTTGTTCTGGACGGTGGTTATAGCACCACCAATATGTCATTCGCTTCAGTGCTGAATGGTTTCATGGATAACCACACCACCACCACCAACAACAACAACCATGCTTAGTAATGGCTACCTATATCCCTTTCTGCATTTGCTGCTTCTATTCATCTATAGTTTATCTATTTCCTCTGTATTCTGTGGTTTCTCTACTAGAACGATGAGGATGGAAAACTGAACACAAGTTTCCCCTCTAATGCAACAATGTAGTAATAGCTAGCTACTGCTTTTACTAAGTAAAAATATGTGTGGCGTAGTGTATGATGCTATATATATAAAAAAGGTTAAACATGCTTTTGTTTTATTACATTTTCGTCATCTTTCACTGCACTTTAAAAATTTGATTAATTGTTTTTCAAACTCTAACAAATATAAACAATTTATTTTTATATTAACTTTATGACCATAATAATTATTATTAAATATTAAATTTGAATATACAAAAATTAAATTATATATTTAAGAACCAAATATAAGTTAAAAAAACATTAAAAACATATTTTTTCTTTTAAAAAATTTTCATGAGTTAATGAAAAAATTATATATTTGACATTAATTTTTTTTTATTACCATATTTTTTATTAATAAGAATTTATATATATATATATATATATATATATATATATATATATATATATATATATCATTTACAACTTTCTATATTGTATTTTTTGTATTTCTCACTTAAACCTTCATCCATTACTATTTTTAATAACGTTTTAATTGAAAAATAATAATTAAACTTATTTTTTAAAGATGAAATAAATAAAAATTAGACATGTTTTTGTTCTCTCAAATAAAATAATTAATTTTAGTCTCAAATGTAGCTTTTTTATTTGTTTAGAAGTAAACTTGTTTTGCTCTCTCTTTGTAAGAGACAATAAATAGATAGTATTAAATTGACTTTTACACGTACGTTTATAAGTAGTAAAATGTCTCCTTCGTTGATAACCCATATTTTGTTCCAAGTGATTTTGTCATGTAATAATAATAAATATACAATATAGTGAATATTTTTTAGCAATATCGTTTTATTAATCTTCCCATTTGTTTTATAAAATAAGTATTGCAGTTTTTTAATGCTTTCAAGATCGTAAGTATATTATTTAGTTTTAAAAATTTGGAAAGATTTATTGAAAAAAAATGAATATTACTATAACAAAATAATTTAATAAAGTATCCAAATTAAATGTCACTATCTGCATTTATGCCTCCGTCATTATATTCCCGTATTTTCTTCTCTTCTGAACTTATTTTAATTAGTATTTTGAACTTAACTTTCTATTATTAATGAATTTTTATTAATTGGGCTTCATTGGGCAAATAATTAGATTTTAATTAATTTAAATCTATTTGATCTAATTTTTTTTCATTATTAATTTTAGGACAATTAAAGCAATTTTGGGCCTAAAAGATTGGGTTAGATGCCATTTTATAGTTTAAAGCAATTTTGGGCTTGGAAAATTGGGTCAAATGTCATATTTTATTCTATACGAGTACTAGCATTGGTTCACTGTTTTATTTATCATTTTTTCTACAGATCTTCAAAAATCATTATTTTCAAAACATTATAAACTAGACACATTCAGCTTTCCATAGGATCCAAAATCATTCAATTCGGAGATAAATTGGATTTTACATAAATTATCCAACACGGGTCAAGGGCACCAGGCCGGCCCAATGGACATGCTTCAGTAATTTAAGTCTCCTAAATTCATTAGACCTCCAAAAATAGTAGCAATGGTGGCGTTTTAAATCTAACTCAAAAGGCTTTCAAAAGATACTGAAATCGCTTAATTTGGATAAGTATTGAAAATACTGCACGTGTTTGAAGTTCATGGACCTAAACTAAAGCCAACTTATGATGTGTTTCATGGACCAATTGAGCCCAAACCTCAATAAAGATTAGGGTTAGGGTTATTTATATAAGAGAGGCACATCACACAACATAGGAGAGATATCACACAAGGACTACGCAGCCACCACACTTCCACCTTTCATCTTCTGCAATTTATATTCAAGTTTGTTTACTCTTCTGTCATTATTTTTAAATTCTTGTTTCGATTTTAATTATGTTTCTTCTATTGCGTTTTCAACTTTCCATAGATAGCTAAATCTTTGTATTGATTTTCTGAGAAGAATGCAAGTAGATCTTTGAGGTTTTGTTCTTCAATTTCATTTTGTTTGTTCTCTTAACTCTTCATCTTCTAATCTTAGTGTTGAATTATAATCTGTTTATGCTTAATAAACCGAAACTAATATCACAGTTTGCTTAATTCTGTGTTAGAGATGAGATTATGTGATGTATGCAATGCTTAATTGTATAAGGATAATTTGGGGTTAATCTTAGCTTAGTTGGTTAATTTCATGTTGGAATAAGGGTTAAGGAAAATTTGGGATTAATCTTCACTTAGTTGGTTAATTTCGTATTGGAACAAGGGTTAAAACTAATTTGAGATTAATCTTTGCTTAGTTGATTAATTTCGAATTAGAATATAATTTGGAATTTATCTTCGCTTAGTTGGTTAATTTCGAATTAATTTCGTAATCTAGGATAAGTGACACTGCATTAGAATCAGGAAATCAATTGCATTTTATTCTGTTTTTAATCCGCATTTTTATAATCTGTTTTTATTTTGTTTCATCTAATATTTTAATTTTGAAAAACTCCCCTTTTAATTTTTTATTACTAAAAATTGATGATCTTTGATAGGAATTTGTGATCTTTGGGAGACCTACTAGAAAAGCTTGCTATTATTATATTTATCTGTTTTAATTATTTGACCTTCATCCCTTCCAAAAGGCATTTATTTCATAAGGTGATAGGATGTTAATTATGTTTCAACGTCTTCTCTTTATTATGACCAATAAAGGAGTTATCATACAATAAATAAGGATATTTTTACGACATTATTAATTTGTTATCGTGACAGAAATTAATAAAAAGATATCTATCATCATTAATTAATTAATTAATTATCGACTTATACTACTGCAGCCAACTACAATAAAATTGAGCTAAATAATTAACATGTTAAATCTAACTATATACAATAAGGAAAGGATTAAATTTATAAATTTTTAAATTTTATGGACAAAAAAATAGAAACATATTTATTTTTCTAAAGTTGTTATTATTTTTAGTTTTTTAAATGTAGTCAGTATTCCCATTTTTAAAGTTACAAAGAAGAAGTTTTACATTTTATTTTTATATATAAAGTTATAGGTAAATATGCATTGTCTCATTCTGCATTGCCGTTAATTATTTCATTATTACAACGGTACGTTTATTTTCAAGTTTGTATAATTAGTACCAAAAATATTTTCAACATATATTTTCTTTAAAACGTGTATTTCCCTAAAAAAACAATCACAATGAAAAGTGGTTATTTTAATTTCAGGGTAGAAGATATTTTAGTTCGCCTATTTATTAACTTCCACTTTCATTTTCTTTTACTACACTCCTTTTTTCTTTTATTTTGAAAAATATTTTAGGAAAATAAAATTCACAAAACTAAAAAAAAAGTACAAAATTTTTAAAATCATTAAAAAAAAAGGTAAATATGAATCCTCTTGGTTAATGTGATATTTGACGGTTGCGTAATTGAATTAATTATTAGCGTTTAAAATAATTATTAGCATAAAGCACGGGATCATGTAGGCCCAAATGATTACGGATATCACGTGGTTGTGTTGGACCTTTTTAAGAGTCCATTTTGTTAGGTACAATTAAGGAAGGTGTAAAACAAAGAAACATGACAAATAAGGAATTAATCTTGGTCATTAATGTTGGTACCATAAATAAATGTATTCATCTCAAAGTTTCCATTATTAAAGTATAGAAATAGTAGTGCAGTAGGATGAATATTGACCATTCAAACTTAAAAAAGAAAAAAGAAAAGAAACACTCACCATATGAAATGATAAGACAGTGACAAAATGAGTAAAGAGAAAATGTGAAAGATATCATTTTGTTGAAAAATTATGAGATGCCATGTTAAGTGTTACTAATAAGACAGCCAAAAAAAGTTTTTTTGTCAATATTTGTGGTGCATACTGCTTTCAAGGTTTGTTGAGATCAATTTATAAAAATAAATTATTTTTCCATTAATAACTATAATTTATTAAGAATTATAAAAAAAATCATAAAAAATTATAAGATCTACTAAAGTTTACAATTTTTAGTATTTTTAAACAAACATGTGTTACATAATTTTGTTTTCACTTTTTTATATTACTACACTACAGTGACATATATAAATATTATTGTATATCATTCGTTCTATCAATATTTATTATAATTTTTTATTTACCCTATCGTATATAAGAGTTTAATATAATTGTGTATCCTACGAATTAATATTGTTAATATATATTAATTTTCATATTAACATAGTGTTTTTCTATATTTACTTTTGAAAAATAATTTTATAAGATCAAATAATCCTTGTGTTTGAATAATGGGATTGTTTTTTCTTTTAAATGCTCTTCTTATATCAGTGTCGGTACACCCGTAAACACATTTGACGCTAAGTTAAAAGATAAGAATTTTTAATATTATTTAAAATCAAAACATATACTTATTAATATTTTTAATTTACTTTCTCTAGTGCTAATATGAAAATTTATATTTAAATCAAAATTGTTAATTTAATTTATAAATAAAATATTTTTATTAAAAAAAATCTAAACATTCATTTATCCCCTTGATGCACTTGGTTACCAATTGATTCATAAGTGGTATGAGTTATGATTTTCAAGAGTCAACTTTTGACATGAAAATGACGGGAAATAAATAAATTATCTATTATTTTACTACTATATTAAAAGTGAGAAAGAAACAAAAAATAGAAAATGAAGATTCAACAGGTTGATCTAAGAATGACATAGAACTAATTAAGAGAATGAAATTTGCAATGCCTAATATTAAGCAAGTTTAAGATGTACTAAAGACTATATCATACTTTTTTTTTTGTCTAAGATAAAGAAACGTAAATAAGAAAATGAAAGATGACATCTTTATTCGATAATTGAAGCTCTAATATTAAATAATATAAATATGACTTATGAATCCTCGCGAAAAAAATAAATGAATAAGAGCTTCAAACGTACAATATGTCAGTTGAACCAAAAATATGAAGAAAACATTATCCTGTTTGCAGCCAGATAAAGCCAACATTATAAATTTTTTAAAAAGAAACACAAGGGACCACTTAATTAATATGTACTAATTCTAATAACTTTTATTAACTGGATAAGACAATTATTGAAATAAAAGAAATATTTTTTTTTCTAAAATGTAAGTAAGCATTATCTTCACTGACCATTGTAATGACTCATTAAGTTTCATTAATTATTAGTAGTTATGAAAACAAAAAACATTAAAACTTAATATAAAAAAGAAAAGACAAGACATTTAAAGTTATTTTCAAAAAAGTTAAATACTAAAATTAAATGAAAACACTTGTAGCATAGTTGTGAAATAAACTCACGTCATAAATATTTATTGTTTAATTTGAACTTTATATTTTATACAGAAAGTTAACTGTAATATCTTTATCTTATCTCATATTCATAAGTTGTTTAGATATAGTTAATAAATTAATATAAATATTTATTCTCTTTATTGTTAATAATTTTTTTTTCTAATTTTAATATGTTCTAACAAAAATACTATTAAATTATTTATTTATTTTATGTAATAAATAAAATTAAAAGACAAGATATAATTAATAAAAGAATAATTAATATAATATTAAATTTTATACACGTCATATGTTTAAAAATATTTAAATATATATATATATATATATATATATATAAAATCCAAAGGTATATTATGTCTTGGAAAGTTTATTTGTTTTTTAATCTTGAATCTAATCATAAGATTTTCAATATCAAGTGTCACTCGTATTTTTGGTCAAAAAAGGAACCATAATTTTGTTATAAAATAAAACCATTAAATCATGTCAATAAGAATTTATATATATATATATATATATATATATATATATATATATATATATATATATATAATATCGTAGTGAATAATTTTTTTATGTATACAAGGAAAAGAATATTTTTTTACTTTTCTAGTAAATCGTATGTTATTTGATATATTTTCTATTTTCCTTTTACTTTTCATACAAAAACTAGATTTTTAAAATAGTTTATTTATTTTTTTACCTACCGAACAATTTAAAAAGTTTTTTTTCCCCTTAAATCAAGCGTTGATTAGCTACTAAAGCTGGAAATCAAAGTTTGTTGAAAAGAGCAATGACCAATTGGCGGGACCAATGCAGTTTGATATCTGGTCAGTTATGCGAAATATGATTGGTTAATTGTGTTGATTTATTGTTAACCATTAAACACTAAACATTGCATTCCTCTTTTTCTTTTCTTTTTTCTCTTTAATTTGACTTATAATTCAACTTATGTTTCGTAAGTAAAATTAGTTCTTTTTTTTTTCAAAAGGGTTAAACAAACTTTAATTTTACCGAAAAATTAAAATTTTTCTAAAATAGACTAAATCCTATTAAGTGAAACGAATTTAGACGATGAAATCGTGTTTGGGAATATCCTTTTAATTTTTTTTTTTCAAGAAAGGCAAATTGTGATTGGTGTCACCATTTCACGTGGAAATTGGCGAAGTCAGCACGAGCTCAAGTGCTCAATTGGGACAATTGCAAAAACATGTCATCCTGCACATGATCAGAGTCAAAATCGGTTCATGTTACATAATTTTAGTATATCTGCATCCTTTCTTACTGAGTCTAATGTTAGGAGCAATATCAAGAATGTTGCAAAAGTGTAATTGAGCATTCAATTAGATATTTATTGACAATTAATTTTTTGCATCAAAAGGTAATTTACTTTGTTTATAAATACAATGTTTATAATCACTATTATTTTCTTCATTTTTAATATTCTCTATTTGTTGCATTATTATTCTCATCCTTTTCATATTTTTAATATTATATTTACTCTCTTTATTTATTTGTTACAGCAACATGTTTGATAAAATATGTTGTTACAATACTACAGTAATTAATATGGTCTAAGTTTATTTTCACATTATCAAAAATTTATAGATTTTATGTTGTTCCAATCCTGTTTTTCATTCATGCATTAAAAAAATGAAAAACTCGTGCTACGAAGCACGTTTTTAAAAAAAAAATCAAAATCATACTTAAAAGCACAATTTTAATAAAAAATGTGTTTCCATGCACAATAAACGGTTTCACTTAACCTTCAAAATCGTTCATATAATATGATTTAACTTATTTTTGAAAAAAATTTAAATTTTGGATCCTTTGGTAAAATCAATTTTATTTTTATTTTTTTTTTGACAAAAAAGCCGTAAAATTACGAAATGTTGAGAAAGAAATAGACAGAATAGAAGAATGTTGAAATTTGAGAGGTTGCATGTGACACATTTAAAGTCAAGTCGCCGCCCTTGGCCATCTGACCTAACCACATGGCTACATTTTTCTTTTCTTCGAATGGAGACAATTTATGTCTATTTATCGAATCTTTGAAAAAATTGCGTATATGATATATAAAAATACAGACTTTTTTGGAGTGCATATTTGTATATGTCTATTTTATAATTCATTTACTCCTTTTATCGGATAAAGCTTAAGAGGAAAAATGGAAGGGTGTTCCTCCTCAGACGCTCCACTCCTCAAGAGGTAACATAAACCAACCACAACTCAATTTCATATTATTAATTGATTATTCTCTCAATATTATGTGTACCACAATGTTGCTATTGCTTACATTAAACAACACTTCCAAGCATGCAGGTTAGAAGGGAAGGTGGCCCTAATAACCGGTGGAGCCAGTGGCATAGGCGAAGCCACTGCCAAGCTTTTCCTACGCCACGGTGCCAAGGTCCTCATCGCCGACATCCAAGACAACCTCGGACACTCCCTTTGCCACAGCCTTAACTCCAACAACATTTCCTATGTTCATTGTGACGTCACTAACCTTAGCGACGTCCAGGCCGCTGTCAACGCTTCCGTCACAAGGTACGGAAAGCTGGACATCCTGTTCAGTAACGCCGGCATCGGTGGCCGTTTGGAATCTTCCATCATGGCCCTCGATCCCGCTGACCTAAAGAGGGTTTTCGAGGTCAACGTTTTTGGCGCTTTCTACACCGCTAAACACGCCGCCGAGGTGATGGTTCCCAGAAAAAGAGGGAGCATTGTGTTCACCTGTAGCGCTGTTTCGGTGACTCACGCGGGTTCGCCACACGCGTACACGGCGTCGAAGCACGCGGTGGTGGGTCTGATGAAGAACCTGTGCGTGGAACTGGGGAAGCATGGAATCAGAGTGAATTGCGTTTCGCCGTACGCAGTAGCGACTCCTCTGATGAGACGTGAAATGGGGATGGAGAAGGAGTTGATAGAGGAAGTGTTTTCGGAGGCGGGAAACTTGAATGGGGTGGTTCTGAAGGAAGAGGATGTGGCTGAAGCAGCTTTGTTTCTTGCTAGTGATGAATCGAAATACGTGAGTGGGGTGAATCTAGTTGTGGATGGAGGTTACAGTGTTAACAATGTTGCCTCTGGCGAAATAGCTTTAAGAAAGTTTTCTGCTAATTAAACTCAAACTTATGCTTATTTGAATTAATATGTGAATTAAACACGTTGAATAATGGATGGCTTGATATATCAAATAGATGATCACATGTGTGGGGATTATATATGATGAGAATTTGATTTGTATGTTACGAACATTTATCAAAAAGATGATACTAAACAACAGTAACAAAAATCAGCTTGCTGTGATGGTTATGTTTATTACATAATTAATAAGTTTTGTTATAGTACACTCCTATTACTTTCCTCCTGTTTAAGAATCGATCATTTACATACTCATGTAAATTACTTTCTTATATATATTTGAGTGGAGATATTTTTACAAGGAAAAATTGTATAATCCTTTAAATAACTCACCTTTATTAATATAATAATTTATAGACTGATTTAATAAAAATAAAAATAAAGTAAAATTATTATTATAATATTAAAAGAGAATTATTTATAAGAGTTCTAGAGTTGTGAAAGTATCATTTTCCTAAATATTTTCATCAATGTAATGAATAAGAAATAAGTTTGTTGAATTTAATATTTACTTTAGTGTATTAATTTTTTTTTCATTAGTTTAAATGTCATGTAATGTAGGCTTTTTCATCAAAGTGGGTTAAAAATATTTCAATTTTACTAATATGGATCAAATTTTTAAAAATTTATTAAATAGAATTAAATCGTTTTACGTTAAAAATTTATTAAATAGGATTAAATCGTTTTACGTTATACGATTTTAAATAAAAAAATATCTAACTTAAAACGATTTCGCATAAAAAACCTAAAATTGTATTTTCTGTAATAAACTTAATGTAAATTTTTAATTTTTTTATAAAATTAAAGTCGTATCATGTAATTATATTCATACATAATTAAAGTCGTATTACATATTACGACTTTGGTTTTATATTTTTAAATAATTAAATTAATTTTATTAAATAAATATATTATTTTAAAACTACTAATTTATTTATTATTATATATTTATATTATAAAATATTATATTAATTATTTATTTTATTTATATTAATTATTATTTTATATAATTTTTATAAATAATAGAATAGAAAAAAAATTAAATAAAAAATAAATATATTAATAAATTTAAATTATATTATTTATTTATTTCAAAATTAATAATAAATATTATTTAGATAAATATATTATTTAAAAATTTGATATAAAATAAATAATTAATATAATATTTTAAATAAATATATCATTTAAAATATATATGATTTAATTTTATAATAATAATAATATTATATATATATATATATATTATCTTTATTATTTATATACTACTTATACAAAATTTATATAAAATAATAATTAATATAAATAAATACATAAATAATCAATTAGTATAATATTTTATAACTTCTAAAATATATATATATATATATATATATATATATATATATTTATATAAAAATAAATAAATTATAATTTTTTAAATAATATATTTATCTGAAAAACTTAATTTAATTATAAAAAAACTATAAAAATATATATTATTAATTTTGAAATAAATAATATAGCATAATTTAAATTTTAAAAAATTATCAATATATTTTATTTTATTTAAAATATTTTTTGATAATACTTTATACAAAATTTATATAAAATAATAATTAATATAAATAAAATAAAAAATTAATATAATATTTTATAATATAAATATATAATAATAAGTAAATTATTAAGTTTTAAATAATATAATTATTTAATAAAATTTATTTAATCATTTAAAAAAAACAAAACCAAAGTCGTATCACGTATCATGTACAAATATAACTAAAGTCGTATTACGTAGTATGACTTTAATTTTATAAAAAAAAAGTACGTTAAATTAGTTACAGAAAACACGGTTTAAGTTTTTTTATTACGAAATCGTTTTACGTTACATGATTTCTTTTTTTTTTTTTTTTAAATCGTGTAACGGAACACGATTTAACTCTATTTAGTAAATTTTTAAAAATTTGACCCATATTAATAAAATTGAAATATTTTTAATCCACTTTGATGAAAAAGCATGTAATGTAATTTCAGAATAATAAAAAAGATGAAAGTAGCATTATAGCAAAAGCTTTATATTTTAGTTTTTTTTTAAATGTAATTAAGGTAACTAAATTAAATATATATACTTTGATTTGAAATTTAATATAAAAATAAATATAATTAAATCACAAATCAGCAATAGTACTTTTATCTCGTTGAATGATACGAATTAAAAATATTGTTTGTAATATATTTTAATATTGATTATAAATGTATTTAAGTATTTTTTCGTGCGTTATATACCATTTCTATAATTTAAAGATAATTTATGAACCTTTAAACATATATAATTCTATGAACCCTAAAAGTTAATCTAAACAATACAGATAAAATAACAGAAAAATTATGCAGGTGAGAAGTAAATAGCTTGAAATAACAGAAAATAAACATAACAAGCCAGTAAAAAGATACATGAAAACTTTAATATGCGTTTATAAAATATTTTTGTCTTTTTGAACATTTTGTCACGTACAAATAAAATAAAATGATATCCGAATCTCTTACTTTATATTTGAATTAGAGGATGAATTTGAGAAAGAAAGAAAAAATTAAAGAGGAAGAGATTTGAAATTGTGGTTGTTTAGATTAATGGAAATATGATAAGAAGTATAGAAAAATGAAAGGAAAGTTTACAAAAATTTGGAAATGATTTGATTGATGTAAATATTTTAATAAAAAAATTATAAATTATCCTTTAAATAAAAATTATTATTATTATTATTATTTAAAATATTTAATAATTTAAATTATTTTTTAATTATAATAATAACAATAATTTTTATTTTTAAATATTAATATAATAATAATTATTATTATACTAGTTATTTTTATTTTTATTATTAAAATAATTATTAATATAATAATAGTTATTATTTATATATTTATTAGTATAACTCGGTATTAATAATAATAATAATAAAATTGATTTTATTATTATTAAACATAGGAATCTATTCTTATATTATTTAATAATAATAATAATAAAATCAATTTTATTATTATTATTATTATTATATTAAATATGATGAATCGATTCTTATGCGAATGAGTATCAATTTTTGTTAAATTAACCTTATAGACAATCAATTAAACGTGAATAATGTTGACGAGAATCGATTCTCGTCACTTATCAATTCATAGATAATCAAATTTTTGCAATTGATTTCGTATGCAAATGTTTTTCCTTTGTTGTCACTAGTTTGGATGTCATACACAATTGTTTCACGTTGAGAGAGGCAAAAACATAAATGCACATTGAATGACTTGTGTTTTTCAACTAATCTCTTCGTTAAAGTGAGGATACTTTCATGACACTCTCCTTCAAATCAGCAATCACAAATCTTCTCAAATCGCTTAAAATGAACATGTATTATTATCGCTCTTCTATCACATGAATAATAAATCAGTGGAAACAAACACAATATTATAGATAAAATTACAATGGAGAAGATTATGAGTTATTTCTATGCTTTGTTCACCACATAATTTTTTTATTCCTCAGAGTAACCTTATCATGTTTTTCTTTTTTTACCTTTTTTTTTATTGATATTTTCATACTATTTCATAGATTAAATTACTCTCTCTCTTTTTTTTCACTTTGTCCTCCCTTTTTTATTTTTCTAATATAACTTTGTAAAGAATGGAGGCGAAGGTAAGGGTGGACACTGGCACAAAGGCAAGGGGAAGAGACGAAGCAGATGGGGGAAGGAAGATCTGACAATAGAGAAACTAAAATGGAGAAAAGAGAGGTGAGGGGAGAGAAAGAAGATGGAGAAAAGGGAGGTGAACGAGGAAAAAAATGATCGAGAAAAATAACCATTAAATATATCCATTATTAAGAAAAAAATAATTGTTCACCTGTATTATCCTATTTTTTATCGTTGTAGTTTTTGTCCTTCACTTTTTTTACACTATAAAATCTCTATCAATAGTAACAAATTTTTACATATTATTTATTTCACCATTTTTCTTCTTATTCAATTATAGATCCCAAACCATTTAATTACCAGTATTATTATAATTTATTGCAAAATTATTTATCTCTTACTGGTGAAAATTCTCAAAATTATATTTATTCATCACTATTTTTTATTTTTTCAGCACTCTCAATGACATCAAATATGAGTAGTATTCCTCCTTCATCTAACATAGAGTCACATTCCTTGATTGGACTTGATAATATCCAACTTGATGGAAGCAATGGAAATATGTATCACAAGAAACCTTGTGTAGAATTCTCAATATATACCAGATGATATGATTATAATTCGAATATGATTGAATGTGTCGAATGATCTAATTGTTGAAGTTGATTAATCATTAACCCAATATTGGGAATAGATAAAAAAAGCATACAACAACGACGACGAACATAGCATTTTCACAAAGAGATCAGTTAATTAAAATCTCAATGGAGTAAATTTCACTTTGCAGTTCAAAAATTTAATGCATGCTACAAACAAATTACCAATAAAAGGAAAAGTGGTTGGACTGAGAAAGATGTTATATCATTCGCATATAAGATTTTCACGGAAGATTCGAAAGGAAAAAAATTTGAATACAAACATGCTTGGTTGTTGTTAAGAGATGAACCAAATGACAATCGACATTTATAGACGATTCTTCAAAAAGATGCAAGATTTCTACTTCAAACGTATACTCATCATCTTCTAATCTAGAGACACAACACAAAGTTGAAGAATGTGACATAGCATGACCAATATCTTGTCCCATAAGACAAAAGACAGCCAAGACAAAGAGCAAAGAAAAAATCAACGCAAGTGCAAAAGTACATTATTGTTATTCACATTGGCTTATGACTCACCTGCTAATAGTATGGATGAATATATTCAAATTGTTAAAAGCACTGTAGTAGAATGCTTACAATGTTTTGTATCGAACATTTGTGTAGTATTTGAAAATGAGTATTTAAGAAGACCTAACAACGAAGACATTGATCGACTACTACAAATGAGAATGACATGTGACTTTCAGGTATGTTAGGATTAATTGATTGCATGTATTGGGAATGGAAAAATTGTTCAGTGGTATGGAAAGATCAATTTTGTCAAGGTGATCATGTTAACCCGACAATCATTGTCAAAGTTGTAGCATCACAAGACTTATGGATTTGACATGCATTTTTTTAGTGCGAGGTCAAATAATATTACTATGTTAAATGCATATAATGTGTTTAATGAAGTTATGTCAGATTTTGCACTTTTAATGCACTATAATATGAATAAAACACAATATGATATGAGATATTACTTAGTAGATGATATTTTTCTAAATTTTGTCACATTTGTAAAAACTATTTCAATGTTACATAGACAAAAAAAAATATTATTTGTTCAACGACAAGAGTCAACAAAAAAGAATGTTGAACGTATATTTGAAATCATTTAATCTTGATTTGTAATTATATGTGGTCCAACACATTTTTGGGATGCTATTATATTAAAGAACATAATTTATGCAAAGATGTATCATATTTCATAATATGTTTACTGAGAACAAATGACATATTTATTAAAATTATGTTTATGATATTAGGTAAAATGATATATCAACTATTAATATATCTTTTAAGTCTTCATCATAATTCTATATCTACACATCTTGAAAGGAGAGTAACAATTTAAGATAAAAATATTCAACACTAATTTTAAATAGGTTTGGTAGAATATATTTAATAAAAATAATAAAAATTAATTTTATGGAGTATATTTTTTTTGTTATTTAATTTTTATTATATTTATTTAAATATTATTTATTTTATATTATTTTTATATTAAAATATGATGGTATGTTATTAATTAAAATAATTAATTATTTAATCAATATATTTTTTTATATAAAATATTAAAATAATATATAAAATGAAGAATGATTTAAAATTATTTCATTTCTAAAATTAAACGAAAGATGGTTTAACGATTAAATGAAAGTTGCTTTAAGTATTATTTAACGATTATGTGACGCTGACCCTTATTTCAGTATTTTACAAAAGAGGGAAGCAACTAATTAAAAATCCAATCCCTAATAATAAAGTAAAAGATAGTAGCAGATGAACGAAGATGGAGGCCCAACCAGGGTGTTCTTCCTCTTCAGACGCTCCAGTCTCCAAGAGGTACTATAATAATAAAACCACTTCTCAAATTAATCTTAAACGAAAATTACTTGTAAATCCTAAACCTTCCAAGCATACAGGTTAGAGGGCAAGGTGGCTCTCATAACCGGTGGAGCTAGTGGCATCGGCGAAGCCACCGCTAGGCTTTTCCTTCGCCACGGCGCCAAGGTCATCATCGCCGACATCCAAGACAACCTCGGACACTCTCTTTGTCAAAACCTTAACCCCCACAACATTTCCTATGTTCACTGCGACGTCACCAACGATGACGACGTCCAAAGCGCCGTCAACACCGCCGTCTCGCGCCATGGCAAGCTCGACATCCTCTTCAGTAACGCCGGCATCGCTGGGCGTTATGACGCTTCCAATTCCATCACGGCCCTGGATCCCGCTGACTTGAAGAGGGTTTTCGAGGTGAACGTCTTCGGTGCTTTCTACGCCGCCAAACACGCCGCTAAGGTTATGGTTCCCAGAAAGAGCGGGAACATTGTGTTCACTTCCAGCGTTGCTTCCGTGAGCCACGCGGGCGCGGCGCACCCATACGCGGCGTCGAAGCACGCTGTGGTGGGTCTGATGAAGAACCTGTGCGTGGAATTGGGGAAGCACGGAATCAGAGTTAATTGCGTTTCGCCTTATGCGGTGGGGACTCCTATGCTGACTGGTACGATGGGGATGGAGAAGGAGAGAGCGGAGGAAGTGTTTTTGGAGGCCGCAAACTTGAAGGGAGTGGTTCTGAAGGAAGAGGATGTGGCTGAAGCAACTTTGTTTCTTGCTAGTGACGAGTCAAAGTATGTGAGTGGAGTTAATCTAGTTGTTGACGGAGGTTACAGTACCACCAATTCTTCTATCCATGAAGCTTTCAGAAGGTTTTCTCCTACTTAAGCACGGATTCTAAGCTTTCATTTCTGGTTTACTTTCACATAATAAGTTTATCTGTTTTGCATTATTAGTTTAAGTGAAGATTTGTCTTTGATTCCAAATCATTCCTACATATAAAACATACAAATCATCATGTAATTATATCATCTTTCTCTTAACCATCTGCATCTAATTCTTAGGATATTGGATACAGGGAATTAATCCTCACGCAATCCATGGTGACGTGATCTTGTTAGAACATAATTTTGATCATTTGTTTTACTTTTACCATAGAAGCACTTTATTAAAGCGTTTCTGATGAAGACAGATTTAGGTTTGTTGGCTATTGAAGAGACGTACATTACACGTGTTCTTTGTTTTTTATTGGTTCAATTATTCATTGATTTTTAAGTTTTAAATTATATTTAAAAACAATATCTTTTCATTTATGCAAACACCAATTTTATTTCTTTTTATTTTATTTTCATATTATTTTACTCTTTATAAAATATTACTACTAGAAATTTTCATATTTTATAAATTTAAATAATTTTTTATAAAAAAATTATAAAAAATAACTAATATTAACTATAAATAATCTGTACATCCCGACGTAACGTGACCAAGTGCCAATATATTTGATTGCCACGTTAATTTTTTTGAAACTTTGTAAGGTTATATTAAAATAGCTTCCTTTGTATTATGTAAAACAGCTTCCTTTTGTGTCTTAAATACTTGAATATATTAATGATATATGTCTGTATGTATGGTTCAACACTTTAAAATAATAATAAAAAGAAGTATGTTTTTACGCTATTAATCAATTATAAAATATTTTAAATTCCCTCTCATGATTTTATTAAAATAAAATAAAAAATAGAGGTATGGAGGAATAAACATTTGTATCAGTCGTCTTACTAAGGTGAATATAGTTGTTTGTGTATGGCCTTATTTCGGCTTTTTCATCAGATTAAAAAAATTTTGATTTTACTAAATATGGTTAAAAATTTTAAATTTTCTCAAAATGATGAGAGGATTTTAAATAAAATCATGTCTAAAAATATGGTTTTAATTGAAATCGTGCTTCAAAATATGATTTTAATTGAAATCGTACTTAATTGTGATTTTTTTTATCTAAAAATATGCTTTTTAATATGATTTTTCCTTTTTTTTTTTTGAAAAAATGTGATGAGATACTTTAAAGATAGAGTATTGAAAAAGATCATCGGAGTCATTTTCTTATTATTTTCCTAATGCTCTATTAGATGTTGGCATTGACATGGTTATTTCTTCTTTATAGTGTCAAATTATTATTGTTGATTGGAAACCTGTTGACATACAAATCAGGGTAGAGTTGAATTTGAGATATCAATGGGATAAGTGGTAGAGTCAGGATTTTAAGCAAGATTGAGAGTGAGAAATGGGGACATGTACACGATACTTTTCATTAATACTAAAAAAACAATAAAAGTTTTATTCCATGCACATTATAATCATTTGATTGCTTCTATTACTATTATTGGTAGTAAGATGACTTTCTTCTTCCCTTTCTAACTATTGCATAATTGATTGGATGACCATAAATAATTTGATGAGGCTAATAGTCTTAGAACCATGTTTTCAACAAAAAAAAAAGTGAGAAAAAATTGTGCTACAAAGCACGTTTTCAAAAAAAAAATAAAAAAAATAAAAAAATCATTGAAAGTACAATTTTAATTAAAAACATGCGTGCTTCAATCTGAAGAGATATTGAATCAAAAGTAGTGAATTTTTATTGAGAAATGTTCATAAAAATTATTGTTTGAAAATTTTTAAAAATTATAATTTTTAAATATCACATTTCATGTATTAAATTTGTTTTTACGATTTTTAATAATTTTAACAATAATAAAATAATAATAAGAGAAGCATGTTAAATGTAAACAATATCAGTAACACTCTGTAATACACTTTTTTTATCAGTTAAAATTTATTAAAAACTATAAAATCATGAGTGATTCCCACGAGTGATATTAGTTAGACTCAATTTTTATGATTTTTTATCAAATTCAATTCAAATTAAAAGTGTGTAAAAAAGTAAGTTACTCGCATTTCTCATTAGAACATATAACTAATCTTTAATTAGCAAAAAGAGGGCGAAGAAAATTTGGCTCCAGTATGTGTTTAACTATTCTGAAGGTACCAAAAAGAATAAAAAGAACAAAGGATTCAACAATATGTTATTTAATAAAGATTTGGTTCATAAATTTGTGATTCTAAAGGCATATTAATAATGATGAAAAGGCCTATGGGTGGATTATACATATGACACATGCAATACACTACTCGCTGGAATTTGCTAGCCCTACCATTTTAAGCATATTGCGATCTTCCTTGAACCTCTCCAGCACAGTGCCCTTGACTGCATCATTCTTGTCTTGTGTTGCAACTTGAGTCACTCCCCAGCATTCTATTACTTCTGGCAATATACGGTTAGACTTGGAGAGGCAAGGGCTACCAAACGTGGTACATGAAAATGTATGTCCTTGATCAAAGTTTGCTGATAGAAATAAACCAAAGTGATTGACTCGTCCCCCAAAACCAATGCCATTTGGAATGTCCTCTGAACTGAAGTTGATAGCACACTACAATACATTGCCATTTCAAGGGTTAAAAAAAATATAAGTCTTGTAAATAGAATAGCAATGAGCTATCTAACTCAACTGAATAAAATCCAATACTAAATGTAGATTATGATCACTATTCTTCCAGTGGAATGCATGGAATCTGTGCAAGCCTTTTACTAATCTTCCTTTTACAGTTAATAAGAGAAACCATCTTATAACATTACTTGCTCGAAAAACATGCCTAACCATAGAGATCACCTTTCTGATATAGCAACACTTCAAAAGTTCGATCATGCTTAACCTCCAACATCCAGAAAAGCAGTTGAAACTGATAGGAAGCCCCACTCTATAAGGGCACCTTGCAACTCTCGTTTTGCAAATTATTATTGTTCTAACAAAGGACTTAGTAATAATAAAGAGTGAGACACTTGATTTCCCTCGTTCATTGCATCACCAGTTTTATTAGATAAATTTATTAATAAGTGACTAGAGAAGAAAACAAGGTCAAATAAAACATATATTTTTTTCAAAAGTTAATATTAACTTAAACATAAATTTTAATTAGCCTTAGAGAAGTTAGATGAAAGAACTCTTTTGAAAAATGGAGTGCATAAGTTGATTTTAACTTATAAAATATGATTAATTCTTTTTTCACCTTCTCGTTTTCTTTTTTATTTGAATATTTATTGAAAAGTTTATTCAAACAGAACCTTCATCTACTTTGTAATGCCAATACAAAATACAAACACAATTTAATGACAGTTCAACATACATAATAAGAGGATGTTAATTAAGACTAGCATTTTAGAATCTAAGATACAAGGACAGTAGTTACCCATTGTAGATTATTGTTTGCTCCAGTCGGCCTGAATATAGAAGTCACTGGATTTAGTTGAAAAAGGAAACATTTCATGTCTCCGTAGAAATCAGCATGTCGCTCCCATGGTTGAGAAGCATACCCTCCATATATATAACCTTCTTTGTCCTTAATAATTAACACAGTTGGGCCTGCATGATTTCTGCAGTTAAAATTAAGAGTCAAATATGGATTGCAAATTTCCAATCCTACATAGCGATTAGTTAGAGTAGCACAGGAACTGATGCCATTTTTAGTATTAAAAACCCCAGAAAACAACAGTAAATTGACAAGCTATGCCTCTTTCTATTCAATCTTTTCATGATAATAACAAATTAGTTATATTACTTTGATAAGCCTTCAACTTTGTATTGTAATAACAAGTCTCCTAACATATATATAAACCTATGCATAACTATTGCCTTGTAAATCCAACAATAAAACCAATTATAGTCTATGAGGGGTACCAAATGCTAGCAGAATTTTAGATATCTCAAATGAACACATTTTCCTTTTGAGGAATATACTATGCATTAAAAGCACTAAACGAAGCAGCAGTACAACACTTCATAGAGTATTCAATGTTTTAATATACTGTAGAAGTTGTTATAGTAAAAATAATGTGTCCATTCTGCAACCATCTTGTGTTCTGCTTCTTCTATATTCTAGATTAATTAAAGGTCAAGCCATTCACAATCCCCTCTGGGGCAAATTTCCATAATTTTGTTTTTATGTGCAAGCACCATAAATGTACAGATTTAGACAGTAGAATGCTTAAAAGGCAAAAACTATATACTTACGAAATGTTGCCCAAGAATGTATTAAAACTAAGACCATTAACAGAACTATGATACAAAAGATTCCAATCTTCCAGGTCTTGCTGAGAAAGTGCGCCTCCAATGTGCCAAGCATATTCCTTTCTTAAAAGTATAATGTTAGAATCAATAGCCTTTGAAGTCAATATTTTAGGAATCTGAGAACCAGGTCGTCCTAGAAAAAAGCAAAACATTGGTAAGAAGTTATGCTAATTATTTATCTTGAACTTTGCTCAAAACTGATTCAGTAGTATTTTATTTAGAAAATGGTAATGAAATGAATACAGTCAAATTGTGAAGCAAATATTTGAATGAAATTGCATTTGTCTGTGTAACAGTCTTACAGTTACCTTTGAGTTCTGTGCAAACAGTTAGAAAAACAAAATTTACAGATTTACATATATATGCTTTTGGTAACTGGCAGAATATTTTCCAAGATTATATGTCAGGCAAAGAAGTGTTCTTAGGTCACCAGTATCCATGTAATCAAGCTGCTCAAGACTCTACACAGATCGTCACCATTAATAGGTGTACATTTAATATTACTCAACAGTTATTTTAGTAGAAGAAAGATCACTAATTTGGTCAAAACGCTTTCATTTTAGGTGGGTCAAATAAATTGCAGTAAAAAAATAGTTGTTATAAGAAGACTACAACGACAACTACAATTACAATAAAAACAACAACTACAATTACAATAAAAACAACAACATCAACCAAGCCTTATCCCACCAAATGTGGTTTGTCAGATGAATCAATAAATATCTTTGGGCTCTACAAACACCAAATTTTCAGTGAATCGTAATAACTATTGTAATGGTTTCTCCTCCTTACAATACAAAACATACTTAAAGTAACAACCTAACATTAGCATAGCTGTGTCATTGACCCCTAACATATGCATAGCTATATCATTGACCCAGGCCACAAAAAGTTAAAGAAAGTATTTCATTGGCCGTTGACTGTCCAACACAGCTTCCTCTTGTATCCTAAACTTCACGACTGACAAAGTAAAATTTGGGGGAGGGAAAATCATATGGAATGGGAAAGTATGACATGCACGAAACATAAAGTCCAACCAATCTTGGTATGTCATATTTCAGATAAACCTGTAACAAATTAAGTCAATAACAAACAATGTTGGAAATTAAGTGCAGCAATACCTGAACCAGGTGACAAAAGTAGGCTTCCAAGAAGCTTCCTCACAGATGGAAGATGAGTACACCAGTTTCTGAAATCTTCAAAAGACATAGTCTCCTCAGTGCCCTCTCCATTATGCATGGAGAATTTTGCAGCATTCAGAAAATTGTTAACAAAATCCTCGTGTGAGCTTGATCTATCCTCAGAATCTTTCATGCATAATATATCATTAAAAATGGCAATCATAACAGTTTCCAAATCAGACCTGCATATCCAATGTAACATATACATGAATTTAAAAGGGGGAAAGCAAAAGCAAAATAATTTTTAAAACAGCATTTCAAATGGATAAATCCTTTTGCTTATCCATAAACAAAAACTTCCATCATTTTATAATGCTTTGTCCTTTTTTAGAAGCATAAACAGAACATCAACCAGGCTGACAAGATAACTTCTAAAGAAATATCACTTGTAGTACTGAATCACGAATTAAACCCACAAAAAAGTTTAAATATAAGGAATGAAACTCCGCTACCCCAAAAAAAAAATGTCTGTAGACAATAATTCCACAGAACGAGAGATATCTATACATAAAGTGACTAAATTTCACTTTATCCGCGAAGAGAAGTATATGAATTCAGACTAGCAGATATGTAAACTAGCTTCGATGCTTAATTATTTTCACTAAATGGAGGCTTGTGTATGATCAGACCCGCATCCTACCTCCCTACAAAATTATCTCCAGATACATCTAATAAGCGAAAGATGAACTCTTCAATTTCATCTTTTGTCCCTTTCTCATATGTAGCCTGCAAAATGAAAAACCAACCCAACATATATCGGATACATGACAACACGATAAATATGTCCTAATTTTGAGACAACACCAGCAAAAAACTATGATGAAGACCAAAAACTCACTTTAGCAACAACGAGGTCTTCAAGGGTTAACCTTTGATCCTTGCGCTCTTGAGTAACTAAATCAAACATCCTCTCCCCAAGAGGGCCATGAAGTCCAAAATATGACTAGAACCCCCAAAAACAAAACTTTTATGGGTTTTAGGGATAATAACAAGTGGGTTATTACAAAGACAGGTAATCATTGAATTGCAAAAGGAACCTGAAAAACGGACGGAGAGATGCATTTGGCGTTAGTCTGGGATTGAGCTGCCAGATGATTGAACAGAGACCTCAAGTCTTTAAGTTCCTTTTGAGTAAAAGCTCTGCAAAGATTTTGGAGATCAATCTATGGAAATTATTTCGTGTAATTACGTGTGGTGAAAGAAAAAAAGGAACCTAGTTGCTGAAACATATCGAGGATCAACGTTGGAAGGTGATTGAGCGTTGCCCATTTCTTGCTTTGCCCCAGAAATTGTTGTGATGGCAGTCCAGAACACGTAGGCTCTGCAAAGTTTCTTAGCACGACCTTTTCACGCTATTTCTCTACCAATCCCCATCACCAAGTGTCTGGATTTCTGGAAATAAACTGCTACATACGTAATTTTCCGTTATTGGTATTGCTATGTACAAAGTGAGAAGCGGAAATTTTTATTCGAAGAGTAGTATTTTAAGAATTTGTAATTTGTAACATTAACTAATTATAAATAATCATTTGGTATGAGTTTTTAGATAACTATCATAAAAATAAATAAATACATTTTACACAATAGATTCATAAATAAAAGGTAATATACAAATTATTCATACTCTGACTATACATACTATTTAATTAATATTTAGTATTATTAATATTTAAAATAATTGTAATAACAAAATTGATTTACTCATTTTTAATTATTATCATGTTAAGAGACATTTAATTATTATCTTAAAGGCAACAAACAATATAAAAAGTATATTTAAGACATGCTTTCTTATTTATATTCAATAAATGTGATTTGTCATTTAATCATTAATTTAATTAAAATTAACATGGGAATTAATACACGAATAAATCTTAGGAGGTGCAATAACCTTAAGCTCTATAACATTTCAATTTGTTAAGCATTTTGGTTTTCTTATTAGTTGCAACAATAAAAAAGTTGGGTCTCCTTTGTTAAGTTTAAAGGGAGACATTTTGTAATGCAACTTTTCATTTATACTTTTAAATTATACAATTTATTTGTAATTTTTTTTATTTTTAAATAAAATTATAAAACACACTTATAAATATATTTATTGGAAAACAAAATTCACAGGTATGGGCCTAAGGGGTTAATCTCACAACAAAGTGACTTTGAATTCGGGTAACTCCTTTCTTGTCTTGTGTATGTTTCTTAATGAATTTGAGTTATTTATGAGTTATTTTTAAATTATTTGAAATAAGACTAAAATAGATTAATGTAAAGTTGGGAAATTTGAATAAGAAAAAGAAAAGACTCACCAGAGTCCAGATTCACCAAATGTACTTGAACAATTTTTTTATAAATTTTTATTAGAAAAAAAAACTTCTCTATTAAAACTAAATTTTAAAAAATTATATAAGAGAATTTTTATAAATTAATTTCAACTTATATTTATAAAAAATTTAATTACAATTTTTCTTTAAAACTTTCTCAGATAAGTTGATCCAAATACATTCATAATTAATAAAGAAAATCTTAATATAATTTCTTTTTTATATAGAGTACGTACACAATCTTAATAATAACACCAACACCGAGTTCAAATCTAGAGACTTCTGTACAGAACAAATATATTAATAATGTATAGCGTGTTCAGTAATTCATTTGATACTTAATTTTTCATTTAACGAATTTGTTCGAGTAAATCATGTGTTATAAATTTGTATTTTTTTTAGAAAAATAATATACTAAGTCGATTATAATAAGTAACGACTCATAAAAAGTTATTCTATTTTGAAATAGATTATAATTTTTTTAATTATCTAAATATGTGATAAACAATTAGTCGTTTGTGATGTTGTTAAAAAGGATAGTTTTGTCATATAGCTTCTCCCTAATATATTCTGAGATGGTTCAAGAGGTAAAAAAAATAGAGAATAAATTAGAACGAGTCAAATGGAAATTTCAATATGATAAAATTTATCTCCAAGGATAATACAACTTTTGAGTAAAATGTAAATATTTGTTTTCTCTTAATTTACTTCTAAATAAACAAAGTATATATATATATATATATATATATATATATATATATATATATATATATATATATATATATAAATTCCCTTATACATGTAACAATGGAAACAAAAAGGAAAAAAAAAATTATACTATGGGATTTCTACTTATAACATCTGCTACGAGATATGTCTTTCAACGTCGGTTATATAAGGCTTTCAACGTCAGTTATACAACCGACGTTGTTTCAGGCGACGTTGAAAGTGTATACTCGTCGCTCAAGCGAGTACACTCGTCGCTCAAGCGAAATGGAACCCGAGAGTCCCCTTTGTTTGAAGCTTTCGTCGCTTAAGCGAGTACACTCGTCGCTCAAGCGAGATGGAACCCGAGAGTCCCCATTGTTTGAAGCTTTCGTCGCTTAAGCGAGTACACTCGTCGCTCAAGCGAGATGGAACCCGAGAGTTCCCTTTGTTTGAAGCTTTTGTCGCTTAAGCGAGTACACTCGTCGCTCAAGCGAGATGGAACCCGAGAGACCCCTTTGTTTGAAGCTTTCGTCGCTCAAGCGAGTACAATCGTCGCTCAAGCGAGTACGTGTTTACTACGTCGGTTATGGTATGAACCGACGTAGAAAGTCTATTTTTTTTTTTTAAATGGACGCTTTGTTTATACAGGGTACCCAATGTTTGTATATATACATACCTGCAAATTTGAATACAACCCAGGCAGACAATGTACAAGATATAAACAATTGAATGTGCATCCAAAAATAAAATTGTATCCAAAATTATAGTGTATCCAACTACTTATCTACCAAATACACTAACTACTAATCTAACTAATAAACTAACTAGTAAACTAACTAGTAAAGTAACTAAACTAACTACTAAACTAACTACTAAACTAAGTACTAAATTAATAACTAAACTTGCCAACTTTTAACTTTAACAAACTTATCGGCCCATGTGTTTCTAATATCGTCAATGGTCTCTATGGGCAATGTTTCCCTGTCTGAAAATACCTGTTACAAGAAAAAAGATAATTTAACAGAGTATCCAATGACACAATACTGGGTCTTTTATTGAATACTAAATTTAAGCAAACCTGATTCCATGTATCCTCAATCTTGCTAACAATAATCAGCCACATCCAGTGCATAACATAATATCCGCACTCATAAGATCCTGGTTGCCTATTACACTACAAAAAATAATATATTAATTTGACATATAAAATGAATGATATAATACATAAATATAAAATGACTTACATTAACAAAAATCCAATCTGGAGTCGTGCTTTTGCTTGTGTGTACTCCATCAATTGTATTGCAAACCTTAAATGCATCGTGCAATACAAGATATAATGAAACAATTAAGTAACAAAACAATTAATAATTGTTTAAATTATTATAAGAATGTGTACTCGTTTACAATGTTTTTAAGATCTGCATCAGGTTTCTTGCCCAAGTGAGCGTGAACCAAGCCACAACATTCCGCTTTGGGCAAACAACCAACAACTGCCAATGATTTCGCTTACATTACAAAAAGTTAGGATAATACAATACACTATAAAATTTAATGCGAATAAATTCATACGCTTAAATACTTACCGATGGTGGTAAGCACCCAAGTAAACTGTCTTCCTTGACTTCATCATCCAATTTTGGATGTATATTTGAACTTCTTCTCTCTTGTTTCTCGATTTTTGTATGGATTGGGGCTCAAAAAATCCATACACATCTTGGGTGCGTTGTTCCTCCGACAATTCATTCATCATCCTAAAGTAGCCAGTTCAATGTACATTAAATATGACGATAACTTCAAATAACATAATTAGTAAATAAAAATAAATATTTACATTGTCCAAAATTGTAACACTGCTATGTTTAGACACTGATTACCAACTGCTATCTCCACAGCATCGATGTGGTCAATGTAAAGGGAAAAGTTCTTATTGTCTACCCCTAACTTATTAACATCCCACTTCACTTGAAAAGATTGAATATACAACTGTGGGACAACGAGATAGTAGTTGAAAAATTGGATTTTCTCGGGACATCTACTTCCTTACCTTTACTAGTATGGGAAGTAGGAACCAGCTTAGGCAACCTGGGTGGCTTCGAACATCCTACATAAAATAACATTGACTTGAGAAATAATAAAAAATAGTACCAGACTACATATGATAATTAACGGAAAGTATATGCAAACCTTTTTCAAAATAGGCCTGATTAGATGTCTAGGCCATGCAATGAAGGTCCGGAGGGCCTGTCCCACTGTCATCACCTCGTCGTAGGCACAGGTACAAGAGCATACGCATCTCGAACCTCTTCAATGACCACTTTGGCCAAGTTAGGTGCTAAAGGCACACTATGAATTGTAGAGGCCCCCTCTTCAATTGAACCAACCGCCACCAATCGTGGTTCAGATCCATCCTCATCAACATAAAATTCACACTCGACACTGATTACACAAAAATAAGACATTAATTATTTAATATGCACATGAATTTTTTTCATTAAGATATCATCCACACATACCTGAGTGGTCAATGTCTCGCAACAACAACAACAACCTCATGATTAGTAGCAGGAAGCTCTTGATCGGCAGTGATTTGGCTCAAGACAACTACCCTTAGTGCTAACTCGTGCGGCGAGATGGAGGAGGAACATCCATAGGTGGGTGGGTAGGTCGTGTGACACCTATGGATGCTAGACTTGAACCAAATACACGCATCATCTCCTCCCGAACTCGTGCGGTAATGGCTGGTGTCGGCGTCGCTGTCGCCTCTTCAACCATCGCTGGTCTCGGCTTCGCTGTTAGACTCTCCTCCAATCCGGCCATCTCCTGCCGGCTCAATGATGTGGTGTGGGTATGGTCCGATGATGGAGCTCCAAAATATGCTCGAATACCCACACCAGCTCCAACAAGCACGAACACGCCCTGGGTGTTCCGGGCGTCCAATAGCAGTAGTTAATATATCTTCACGACCACGGGAACGAATGTTCCCGTGTATACCTGCTCCTCTAAAGAATCCTACAATTGAGCATTATATATTGTAAAAAAAAATTGATGAATGACAAAGCATGGTTAATGAGGTTGAAAGAAACTAATTTGACTTACAATCCGCTCAGCAATCAAGCGGGCCTCCTCTCGATGTCATTTCACCGGAGGCCTTTTACCGAGCCCTCTTCAATTTTTGATGACGTTTTGGAGGAGATGGTGGGGAAATTTCTTCCCGGCTTACACCGGAAGAGGCTAACTCGGCTT